CAATAAACACCCCTAAAAGTGACATAAAGGTCACTTATCAAACTCCCCCAAGCTAACCTTTTGCTCGTCCTCGAGCAAATTAACATGAAACACGGGAGAAGGAGAGTGATTAATTCAAGCAAATCTAAGACACTAAAGGAGACAAGAATGTACACTAACTCACATTCGTAGGAATCACGGTCAATTTTAGCAAATAAAGACAAGCCCTTTAAACCCCTAGATCGCCCTAGAGTACGAGTGTGCTCTTGTGAGGGTGTCCTAAGAGTTTAACCCACAACTCTAAACAAAAACCAAGGCAAGTAAATAAAAAGAAAAGAAAAAGAAACATAAAAAGAGAAAGAAAACACAAAGTTCATATTTGGACAAGAGATAGGAACAAGCACCAATGAATGTTAACCTTTCTAAAAAGACAAATGTATGCACGTTCCAAGATGTCAATGGTTGATTGAAACATAACATATGCTAAGCATAAAGAACTAATGGGGACACAATCCACCCTAGCCCCTACCAATCAGGCCGCGTTCTCTCCACTAGCTTCAAATCAACCCTTAATTTAGTTTCTCATGATTCCACGAAGTAACCGAAAAAAAAGGTAAAGAAATGAAAAAATTTGAGAAGGTAATCCTGACATCTCAACTATACATACTCTATCCATAGGTTTGAAGTCTATATCCCTCCACTGTTCTTTGACCTATACCCACTAAAGTCTAAGGGACTTTTATTGGGTTGTAACGTAAGGGTAAGGGTTAAGGCGGGGTAAAAATTTGAAAATTTTGTGATATTTCCTAAGTGAAGCAAAAGAGTGGCCTACTCTCAAAAACAAACTCAAGAAGTCACAAAATATCAAACAAAAATACCAATAATGCCATATTCCCCAAGCTTATTCAACACTAACACAGTATATACGAAAACCGAAGTAACGCTCCCCCCCTAGCTTGAAAGAAGCATTGTCCTCAATGCTTAAACTAGGAAAGAAAACGAAACCAAACTAATATATTTTTGCGTTTTTTGTTTCTTTTTTCATTTTTTTTATTTTTTTTAATTTTATTTATTTATTTATTTATTTAGCTCTTATTTGATGTCCTTGCCTTTTTTTTTAACTATGGACGGATTTTTCTTGAAACTTCATTTGATTTTCTTGAATTGCATCTTTCTTCTCAAACTTTTTTGAATTTTCTTTTCAATACCGTACTTAAACCAATTCACAAAATGTCTTGTTCAATTTCAACACTATCAAAACTCAAACCTCACATGCTAATGCTTCACTAACTAAAAGGGTTGGTAAACATAGGCCATTAGGTTTGTAACGCGGTTTAAACAAGGGCGGGAAACATTAGGCTCAAATTGGTTAATAAGTAGGTCGATGCAAAATAGAAAACCAAATTTGTAACAAAATAAAAAGAAGATAAAGAAAAATGAGAAAAGGTGCCCTTTTCCTCCCTTAGAGTGGCTCGGTCACGATCTTGGGAGCTTGAGGTCAAAACAAGGATTAAGACATGCATACTAAAGGATCCTAAATAGCCGCTCAACAAGGTGATGAAGGCTAGAACAAATGAAGCTCACAAGGGATTATAACCAAACAAATACCAACCAAGGGTTTCAAATCCACTATAGAGAACAACTCCATCTTACCACATTCCCATGAACTAAGGCTTCATGGACCCCTAAAATTTCTTAACCCGACTACCTTAGCATATAGTATCCTAGAGTCAACCAATAACACTCTCAAACCGTGCATACATTTACCAATTAGGAAGAAAAACATTCAAGGATTCAAGTCACAAAACAAAATGTCCAAAATAAGAACAAACAAAACACATTTTGCCAAAATTACCTTGAAAGTAAACAAAAATATTTTTGGATTTTTCAAAATAAAAGAAAAGACATGGAAATGCATATACTCAAGTGCATGGCATAAATGAATCAAAATCCCACCAAACATGATAGAATACCCTCCCCCCAAGCTTTAGTGAGACAATATATTCAAATATAAACAAAATCATCCATGGGAGGAGAAAAGAAAGAAATCAATCCAACAATCCAACACAAGTCCAACGAGCCACCAACCATTAGAGAAAGAGCTAGGAAAGATATTACCGGATATTAGTGGGTGTAATTACCCGCAAATGAACCAATTTAACCTTTCAATGTCGATTTCCTTTTGAATTGAATCTCTATTTTCATATGCTAGCTAAAATAGGCATTAAACTTCCTTAATTCTTGATCCAAACCAATGCATAAGTGTATATCAAGTTATGTACCTAGCAAAAGGCACACAAACATTTCCATGAGAGAAAATCTAATCTAAAAAGAAAATAAAATGAAAGCAATAAAAACCTCGGGTTACTTCCCGAGAAAGGCTTGTTTAACGTCCAAGCGAGACCGCTCTAGTAAATAATATTGCAACGAACGCAAGAGCTTATCAAATGCACTACTACACATTTCATATGATAACAAGTAGGCAAATGACGGGAGGAGGACGTGCAACAAGATTATTGCACGTAAGTGAGGAGGAAGATTCCAAAAGAAAGAAGAAAAATCTAAAGAAAAATCAAGAAAATAAGAAAAGAAAGAAGAAGAAAAATAAGGCAAACTCTCCTCAAAATATTTTTGGGTGGCACAATCACCCATTTCCTCAATAATAGGAGGATGAAAAGGAAAAGTCTCATCAAACAAGAGAAGGTCCTCAATAGGCTCTTTGGTAAAAGAAGGGAGGAACATGGGATAGTAGGAGATGTGGTCAAATTTCCTTGAGAAAGGGACATGAGGAAGGGGAGGAGAAACAATGGTCTCACAAAGCCTCACATCACCAATGAGGGCATGAAAATATATCATAGAATCCTCAAAAGAACACTCATGACTTACATCTCCCTCAAACAAAAACTCTCCAATAGAAACAACCTCATCCTCCTCTCTATCACAACGATGAACAACTCCCTCAAGATCCTCAAAGCCTAGAGTCTCTAAACCATGCATGAAAGGATAAAGGTTTCTCTCAAACTCATCCCTTTCCCATGAAGCATTGCCAATGAACTCTCTTAAAAGGCTATAATGATTTGTTACACCTTCAATGAACATACTAGCCATAACCTCAAATGAGTCCAAAGACTCATAGATAGAAGGGTCACAAACATGCAAGGTAGACTCATAAAGATGGGGAAGGGGGTTAGAATCCTCATAATCGACATTTTCTTCATTCACAACTCTTCCACCACAACTCAAGGGACTCTCAATCTCTCTTGATTGCTCAAACTCATCATCATCATCCTCTTGAAATCCCTCATTCAAACAAGAATATGGCTCACTCACATCCTCAACAAGGGAAGCTCTCAAAGGGGGTGAATAAGGGGAAGGATGGCAATCAAGCTCAAATAGGGAATGAAAAGGATCAAATCCTCAAAAATCCTCTCATCACAAGAAAATCTCCCATCACCTTCACAACCTTTCCCTACATCATCCTCAACAACACTCTCACACTCAAAGTGAGGTGCCTCACGTCCATCTAAATCAAACATAGAACTCATCACTTGGGCAAGCCTCACTTCTCTCAATTTCCCTTCCTCTTGAAGCTCTTGGAGTTGTTGGGTGAGATATTGCATTTGAGAGAGAATTTGGGCATCAATGTTATTGGGTTGAGGTTCATGATCAAAGTCAAATTGCACATCATCAAAATTAGCACAAACCTCGTCAAAATGAGCATAAGGGGGAAAGGTGTCAATTTGCATACTTGGATCATCACAAGGCACATAAGAAGTATCGAGAGAATTCATGCAAAAATTAAAAGAATCTTGGCATTGAGAATTAAAACAAGAAACATGAGATTCTCTATCTAAAGAATCCCTAGCAAGCCATGTGAAGAAATCCCAAGCATCATGCATAAAAAAATGACAAAATTGTTATGGGTAAAAATCTGCAAGGATCAGTCAACGACAGTTAGTAAAGGTCAATGACGAAGACTTCTCTTGACTAAGGCGCAAGCTCGACGACGCATCATCAGCATTGACGGAAGACGAGGTCAAGTAACAACTCCCTATTTTCTAGGAAGAGATAAGTGAAGACTTAGTCCAAACTTAACCAAATCATTCTGTTAGAAATCAAAACAGAAAAGAAATATCTTCAGCATTTGAATTCAGAAAATCATGGGAGCAATTCTATCTCCTGGAAACGGCTAGAATTAAACTTAGCAACCATCTATGTAAAGGGCAGGGAAACGACGAGTAAGGGGCATTCTCATCCAGCAATATACGCACTACATCACATCTTGTAAACTGATATCATTATTTTTTGCATAGTGAAAGATTGGTAGATCCTCATTCTACCCGGGGTTTTTACCTTCATTGGGTTTTCCGCGTCACCAATTCCTCGTGTCATTTATTCTCTTTCTTGTCGTGTTTTACTCTTGATTTTGCTTAGTTGATCCGTAGCCTAGATTTTGATATTCAATCCCACTTAACAGAAATTAGCATAAACAATTTGGCGCCCACCGTGGGGCTACACACTACTACAAAATTGGCCAAAGAAACCATACCAAAATAGCCTAAGAGACTCTCTTAGGTGTGGTCTCTAGCTCACAGGTGTCTTTTGCCTAAGAGACCATTTCATAAAAGGTGGTCTAACTTTACAATACCAGACCACCTTGCTAAAATAAATGGTCTCTTTTTTTAGTTTAATAATAAATAATATAGAAGGATAAGAGACCACATGTTTTAAATAGGCGGTCTCTGGATTTAAATATTGAGACCACCTATTTTAAATGAGTGGTCTTTGTTTTTTGAATAATGAGACCATCTATTTTAATTAGGTGGTCTCTCTGAGGTCGTTTTTTTTTTAAAAAAAAAATAAATAAATAAATTGCCATATTCCTTTTACAATTCATATTCATCCAATAAATTTTGGCGCCAATATGTTACATTGTTGAACCTGCCACTAATACAGTACATATATATAGAAAGATAAATTTTCCAAATAATATATATATATATATAAATAAAAATATTTAATACAAAAACTAATTCTCTGCAATAGAAATAAAATCCAAAATTTACATTAATTCTAATATTCAAAAACAAAACTCAAGTGTAGAGCTTTTCCTCCAAAAAAAGAGTCAAAAGTAGAGCTAGATTCACAAGTATAATGATTAACACTAAGCTTATCTCATACTCAATCTTTGCTGATTCATCATCAAGCTCATCCATCATGAATCTTCTTCATCTGGCTCATGATCAAGAACATATTTAATCTACAAATCTCGCATTTCATCAATGCCTTCCGAAGAATATGTACAAATTGGGGGAAAGACCTGCAACATACAACATTTTTTTTTTAACACAAACTAGACAACATATATTAATTAATTAGAGTTTTACAACTAAAGCAGCCCACCTCATTCCATAAATCAAAATTAGAGGAATGCAAATAGCTATTAACATAGAACCAGCCACTAAGCTGAAAACTAATGGCCCTAATATTAACAAACAGTGCCCCTTCGAAAAGCAATTAAAACAAACTTTATGACAACAGAAGCTATACTACTTCGAACAGACCCCAACCGATCACTCCTCCTCAGATTCTACATCAGCATTTAGAGCTGCCACAACAGCAAGTTCAACATTATAGATTGGCATAATAGGCTCAGGATAGGTGAGATACAAACAGAAGCAACACAAAACATATGCCATCAAATAAGAGTATTATTTATTTACTTATTTTTGACGGAAATCAGATAGATATTTAACCAAAAGCTGAAAATCAGACATAAAAAAGCAAAAGAGCATTTTGACGAACATCCTCAATCCACACCCTTAGCTCACTTAATTTCAAGACTTGGTGTATTTTAGACATAACAAAGCACTAAAAAGAAATGAATTTCAGAACTTAAAATCACAAATATAATGAAATTTCAAAGGGGGGATCAGAACTCTAATTTTTAATTTCATTCCTAACTTAATTTCAAAGACTGATTCAAAAATGAAAAGTATACCTCACAATTAGAACTACAATCAGAACTACAAATCAGAATATACAAAACCTTATAGCTATTATAGATTACATAAGCTGATGATGTTCTAGTTATTAGAATATACAAATCAGAATATACAAAACCTTAATCAGAACCTTATAGCTATTCTGATTGCATAAGCTGATTTGATTATTTTTGGTGGTTAATATGATTAAGCTGCATGCAGACTGCAGAGTTACACTTGAACAAAGTTCAGACAGTTGGTTAGAGCAACAGATAGATAGAGTTACATTCACAATTCAGACAGTTGGTTGCACAGTTCAGAGTTACATTCATAGTTGGTTTCACAGTTCAGAGTTGGTTTCACCAGACAGTTGGTTTCACAGTTCAGACAGACAGACAATTGGTTAGAGCTCAGGGCAGTTTATACCCATTTAAATGACATATATTTGTAATATACCTGCTTGGAAACCCATAGCACTCTTTTCCGCACAATATCTAACTTATATCGACAAAAAAAGTATCCACAATACTTGGTGTATGATGGTTGACGAGGACACTATGATAATGCAAACAATTAATCATTAACAAGATATTAGATTTTAGGATTAAACTGCATAATATTAACTGCTATAAAACTTTAGATAACTTACTTGTGGTTGCTCCCACCTAATATATGCATTCTTTTTTATTTTCTTGATGTCCTTCCGATGGACCGAGCTGAATTGTTTGATTCCTCTACACAATTACATGAAGATAGGAAAATTGTAATAGTTTCCAAATACACAATAAGAACAAAATAATAAGTTAATGACAAAGTTATTGCAATTATACATACTCAGTGATGATCTTTTCAGCGAATGAGTTGATTATATTTTCTGCTCCAAGTGGATCTAGCCAATACACTAACCCATTCCACGGACTAATAACAGCTAACATCCAATGCATAATAAACTAGCAGCAAGGCACTTTTAGAAGGAAGAATGGATAAGAAAAACAACAAAATGTAAAAGGGGGCAGAATTTGTTTAACATAGCAATGTTGCCCTGACTTTGTTTGCTTTAAGAGGAATTTATTAGTAAAAATAGCATAGCATGGAAATATAGAAGCAATCAGGTTAAGAAAATTGAAATTACATATATTAAAGCATAAATAATGAAGAATAATAATAATCAAAGTAACATAATTACATAACAAAGGAACTTTACTTACTTGTCATTAAAAGGAGCAAAGAATAGCTGATTATAGTTCTTCCCCTCATTGCACCCAAAAACACGAGCTAGATAGTTAGATCGAACTTGCTCGTTTGTCGTTGGTGTCAAAGGCGATAGAACATTAGAGTCACAAAACCCATACATTCCCGAGATACCTTCTTTGTGACAATGTTCTTTCAAGATCTTTATTTCATCAAAAGTTGTAAATATATAAGAGAATGGACCAATAATTTTCCACATTGTAATTAGAAACTTAATTGGAGGTGAACTTACTTCATGAATATATTCATTTGCGATTCTCCAACCTCCCTTTGGAAACACCAATCAAGCAAATCTTCATAATCAAGTGAATCATTTAACCCATTTTCATTAAGAAACATGCTCTCTAGAATAGTGATAGAGATGGTATCGCCAGTCTTTTGCATCCCCATAGCTTTTTTTCTCATAAGACGCATCAAAGTAGATGTCACCTTCTCACGATCCTTGTCGGTAATAACATACTTACGAGTTGTTGATGCGTGGGAGGATGTAGATTGTGGGGATGGTGTGGTCACATCAACTTATTTATCTGATTGGTTGTTTGCCTTTATAATATGTTTTCACATGAAAAATAAAACAAGACTATCATAAAAAATGCAAGGAACAACACACCAAAAACTAAGAGGGCATAGGAACTAAAAAACCAAGCTGCTACCGCTGCCACAACAGTCAGTAGCTTAAAGAAAAAAATATGAAGAAGCTTAAAGACAGTAGCGAACAGAAGCTTAAAAACAAGGAAGAATACTACCTTTTTGGGGAAAATCAAATGATTAGGCCAAGCTGTATAAGATCTCTTCGCATGACATACAAAAAGCAATTCATCGTTTGGGCATGGCAGAGGAGCAGTTGGCACAATATCTTCTGTAATGGTGACTCGACGGTGACCAGGGGGCAACGATGTGTTATGATTGCCAAGAACTTCGGTGCTGCTTTCTGTGAGGACTTTACCGTTAGCAACAACTTGTAGAGATTTGTCGCTTCCCTCAATTTCCAAGCAACAGTCACTCCATCCCTAAAAATGAGCACACAAGTGTTGTCACAACATAGTATATGGTGTAGACTCGGTGGTTCAATGAAAATTCATGTATAAGTTTTGATCTTCAGGTCAGTTATGAAATTATCGGTTCTAAAATTCAGTTCATATCTACAGTTCTGAACTTCAATTTCTGATGATTATGCTAGATTTTAGATTCTGATTAGGCAGGACATAACCTCATAATATGTGCAGATATAAGGTTACTGCTAATACCATTAAAGCTACATAGCTAAAATTTTACATAAACATATGACACTATAACCTCAGTGTCACCACCAAAAACACCTTGCTGAGCGCCAACAACCATTAATGCTCTCAATTGCTCTTGGTTCAAGCATGACATCATGAATGAAACTATAAAATTCTGCTGCTTCATCATAGATGCCATCTTTTGAGTTCATCGCATTCATTTTAGCATTGAATTCGCTAGGTGCAGGTGGTTTGTTGAACCCAAAGTACTCTGTGTTAGTTACTCCAGATCCAACACCCCTAATAGAACCAACCCGTTCTGGCTTGTCCAATGCTCTTGCTAAGATGTCATCTCTACCTGTAACTTGTATTTCCCCTTTTTGAACTTGCGTCTCCAACTTAATCTGGAAATTATCAAAAAAAATTATATCAGTGCCCAAATAATAATCTTAGTGACTGAAAACACCTAAAACAAATGCAAATATATCTTACTATTGCATCATGGATTTCCTTATCTTCAAGATTATCAAATGTTAAAACTCCATTCTTCACATGAGAATGAGCTTTAATCCAAGTCAAATGCCAAGGCACGTATGAAACATGTACTCCTTGCTTCTCTAGCTCTTTTTCCTACCATTGCAAATAAAATAGAAAATATAGCTTAAACACAAAGAATTTTAAAATTTCAAAAATTATCAATTGAGTTCTCTATATATTCTTTTATTAAATTATCATGAAAGAGTATAGTGAGGAATGAGCACTATTAAGCTAAGCAGTGAGGCAAAGGTAAAAACAGAACACCAGGATTATTATTTAGTTAGAACAGCTAGTATTAAGTTTATTTGAAGTAAAAAAACAGAAGGTTACAGCAATAAGAACACCACTAATACCACATAGTAGTTATAAAATGTTTAGCATATACTTACAATTGTTTCTTCAAAATATTGATAGCCAAGTCTCCCACCTCGATATTTTGAGGTCCTCTTCTTCGAACTTTCACGATTTCTTTCACTCAATTTCTACAATAATTATATTTAATATCAGAGTTAATCCACACAAATTTTAAATGTACACATAAAGATAAAGATAAAATAAATGCCAACGTAATGAACTTGCACCTTGAAGTCCCTAGAATTACAAGCCTGAATGAATTTTTCCCAATCATCTTTAGATATGAAAGGATATTTCAATGGTGGAGAATCATTGATTGTTCCATCTTTCAGGTACAAATACTTGAGCCTTAATCTAGTCTTGAAAGCTCTTCCTCGAACGCAAGCTTGTTTCATAATCCAACCTTTGCGATCCTCAAGGATATGAAACCCCCTCTATATCCAAAAGAAATTCAGATATTCGTCACATTTAAAAGTATCGATGCATAATCTAGTTTCTCTTCCCTTAAAACATAAATACATTATTTACATACCGAAATATTGTCATAGAAATCATCAAGAAGTGCTTTTGGCAAGTCTGACCACTTTCTGTAGGTGATGCTCACTTTTTCACGGACAACTACACCAATGTAGGTGGAGAAATGACCTCTATGAACACCGATAGGGATTCTCCAAGTTGTATTCCACTGTAAAGGGATTTTTGTGCCAACCTGAATAGCTCTCCCAACCATTCTGAGCACAGTACGACCTCTTTCTTCCTCGCATTCAGAATTGTCCGTTGCGTGCACTTGCGATTTCTTTCGAGCCATCCTGCTACTACACAGAAGGTCAAAATTTAGAGTGACATGAGTAGTTAATTTCATAACAAAAAAACTCAATTCCAAAAAGTAAACATAGCATCTATAATCATCGCATTGTATGCTATTAACGACGTGGCATCGGACCGTATAAAATAAAAAGAAAAAAATTCCAATCACAACAAAGTTCAGATGAATGATGATAATCAAAGCCAAACACAATTACACAATAGAAAATAAAAAGAAAAAAATGGGCATACATTATAGCAAATATTTTATTCAATTTTTAAAAATTCCAAACTTTCGCGGGAGAATCAAAATCCAATAACTCATTACTGTATAAATAAAAACAGGATTCATATATGAAAAAGATGGGCAGATTACTATAACAATAGAACATCGTAGCAAACAATCAATAAACACAATTACACGATGCATATTCAAAATAATATCTACATAAAACAAACAAAATAAATATGATACCTAGCTTAGATGCGGTGACCCTAATAAGGCTGGTTAGGGTTTTCTTTCTGGTCCTGTTGGCAGTGGTTGGCCGGAGGTAGAATACGTCAGTAGTCGATTGTGGTCTTGTGGAGGCTAGCAAAGTTGTGTGAATAGCTAGGGCAGTAGTACTAAAATTGCGAATTCAATGCCTAAAACAACCAATCAATTGCTACCAGTGCGACCCTATGTGGTGCTAGTAGCGTAGTAGGCGACTGTAGGCGGTGTTTTCCGGCTATTTGTGCGACCCTAGTGGTGGAGCGATTGCAAGAGTCACGGTAAGGGTTTGTGCAATAGACGAAAGGTTTGAAATTGGGTTCTAAACTTCAAAAGATTGTAATAAATTTCATATAATGGGTTTGGAAATGAAAATGGAGGAAGATGAAAATGGAAAAGGTGGAAAACGAAGGTGGTAACAATGCCGGAAGAATCGAAGTCGAAGGTCGATGGTGCGCCGCTGCTGCTGCAAAATTATTTGTTTTGGCGGTTTAATTGTTTTGGGGGAAAATGAAAATTAAATTAATTAATTGGTTCCAACCCAAAAAAAAAATTAAAATTAATTGAATTAGGAATGTGTTGACCATCTTGATTGATAATGTAGAGAGTAGAGACCATATTAGACTTTTCACCGGTCTCTCCTTTATTTTTTTTTTTTAAAAAAAAATTATTATATGTATTTTAAAAAAAGAGACCACTTATGTAGAAAAATGGTCTCTGTTGTTTTAAATTAAAATTTTGAAAAACTACAAGAGACCTATTATTTCAAATAAGTGGTCTCTCGAAATATCAAAGAGACCACATATTTAGGATATTTGGTCTCTTGATACTAAGAGACTACCTATTTAATTAAATGGTCTCTAACTTGTGGTCTCTTTGGCCAATTTTGAAGTAGTGACAACTAGGTAAAGTCTAAACACCCCCCGTTAACCCTTCAATATGTCATGCAGCTACTCTCCGTCAGCAATTGGAGACCGCCCAGAGCAATCGTTGGCGACAGCCAAGGCAGTTAGCTTAGATCTAATCCCCATGTTGCCGCCGCTGGATGTCATTGAGTCTCCACATGACACTGATACCGAATCCAGTGACGGAGATATGAACTTGGACCCTCCAATCAGGAATCCCGGGCAAAGGATTACTCGAACTTCAGGAGACGACCAAGGTTACCCGCAGCCGGACCATATGGAAATCCTGCTCCAGAGGTTGGCTGCCTTAGAAAAGTAGAACTCCAGGGTGCTGTCGATGATGAAGAAGATGCTCGGCGTGCCGATCCTCGTTTAGCAAGAAGCACTAGATGGATTCGCAGCGACCCCGTTTTGCGACGAGCTAGCCGTAGCCCGGATTCCCAGAAGGCTATATTCCCGACGTTCACGTTGCTCTATGATGGAACGACCTGTCCCGATCAGCATGTCGAGTACTACAAGCAACGGATGTGGCAAGCTTCGATCCCGTTCGAGTGCTAGGAAGCATGCATGTGCAAATCGTTTGGCGCGACGCTGACAGGCCCTACCCTTAAGTGGCTCGGCAAACTCGAACCAGGTAGTATAACTAGTTTTTCTATGTTAGTTAACAAATTCTATTCCCATTTTGAAAGTAGTAGGCAGTTCGACAAGGAGACGAGCGATCTATATCGGATCGTCCAGGGTCCCAAGGAGACCATCAGAACTTATTGGTCTCGATTTAACAAGATAGAAAGTCTCAATCAAGAATGTCGACAATAGATCTGTCGTTGAAGCCTTCCTCCGCGGATTGCATACTGACTCGGACCTGTACAAAGATATGGTTCAGTATCCCTGCTCAACATTTGAAGAGGACCGGACCAGAGCCGTGGCTCAAATGCGCTTCGACAAAGATATCGCCAATCGCAGCTCCTGCCCGAGTTCCTGAAGTTCGTCCGATCGGAAGGCCCCAACCCAAGGGGATCATGGCGACACTAGCCTTACGAGGCATCAGGTAGATCACGCTCTGTAAATGCTGTGTAGGTCGAAGATATCCTCGACACCCCGCAACACCCCAAAATATCGGAGTATGGCTTCGACAAGAATATCGTAGCAGTGGTAAAAGAGTTGGAGCCCTTGGGAAGTAAAGTGCGCTGGCCGTCGAAGAGCAACAAGCCAAAGTCGGAGAAAAATATGGACAAATGGTGCAAGTTCCATAGCGATCATGGCCATAAGACGGAAGATTGCTACGCCCTGCGAAGAGAGGTCGACTTCCAGTTAAAGAGAGGCAACCTCAAGCATCTATTAGGGAAAAAGAAAAGCAATGAAGCAAGTCATCATTAGCCAGAAGGGACGACAGCCGGACCTCCGAAGCCTCCTGTACCTAAGCTAATAGTTAATGTTATCACTGGTGGTTCCGATATTTGTGGACTAACCTATTCTGCAGCAAAGAGGATCGCAAAGTCGACAATAGATAATGCAGATGTCCCGGAAGAAATCAGAGACCCCCTGGAAAAGAAGCTAGAGGCAATGTCAATTACCTTCGATGATGACAACGTCAACAACATCAATAGAGAGCATGAGGACTCTTTGGTAATTTCTCTGGTGCTCGGGAATTGTCTGCTTTGAAAGGTGCTGGTCGATGGAGGAAGCTCCGCAAATGTCCTGTTCAAAAGAGCCATGGAAGACATGGGGTTGAAAGATAGTGACATCACCAGAAGGTTGACGGCTCTGGTCAGTTTCAGTGGAGAAAGCATGTCAACTCTCGGAGACATAACCCTTCCAACTTATGCAGGAGGCCTAAACCCTCAAACCAAATTCAATATCGTCGACTGCCCGTCAGCCTATAATGCCATAAAAGGACGACCCTGGATCCACCGATTGAAAGCCATTCCTTCTACCTACCACCAATCAATCAAATTTCCCACCCCATGGGGAGTCAAAGAAATTAAAGGAGAACCCCGTGAAGCCAAACACTGCTACAAAACAATCGTTAAACCAACTATGAGAACCGCATAGCAATTACAGCATGGCCCGACACCAGACAATCCCAACGACCTCGAAATTGATGAGATACCTTTAGATCACGAAAAGATAGATTAAGTCGTCCGTGTCGGAGCCAACTTAACACTTGAACTCAAAAATTCCATCCTAGCCTTTCTCTGAGAGAACAAAGATTGTTTCGCCTGGTCTCACAAGGACATGACTGGTATAGACCCGAGCATCATCTCGCATAAGCTGAACGTCGACCTAAATCATAAGCCCGTCAAAAAGAGGCGTCGAAATTTTGCTCCAAAAGCGAAATAAAATCATCAACGACGAATTACAGCAGCTGATCGATACTGGAAAGATAAGAGAAGTCAAGTATCCAGATTAGCTCGCAAATGTTGTCGTCGTTAGTAAAAAGAACGGCAAGTGGAGAGTGAGCATCGACTTCACCAATCTCAACAAAGCATGCCCTAAAGATCCGTTCCTGCTCCTGCACATCGTCGCCATGGTAGACGCGACAGCAGGTCACGAGCTCTTATTGCGAAAAAATGCAGGTTATAAAGTTATGCTATTCAGACTAAAAAATCCAGGTTCGACGTACCAGTGGCTAGTCAACAGGATGTTCAAAGACCATCTAGGAGATACAATGGAGGTATACATCGACGATATGCTGGTGAAATCTAAGAAGTCAAAGGACCACGTCGATCACATCCGTCAGACCTTTGAGGTATTGCGAAAATATGGTATGAAACTTAACCCTACTAAATGCTTGTTTGGAGTGTCTGCTTGAAAATTTTTGGGCTACGTAGTAACATAAAGGGGAATTAAGGCCAGCCCTAACCAAGTCAGAGCCATAATAAATATTCAATCCCCATGAAATGTAAAAGATACCTTGACAGGACGAGTGGCAGCATTAAATTACTTCATCTCTCGATCGTCACTTTACTCCCATCCTATCAACAAACCCTTAATGGACAATTCATTCGGGAGGGAGAAGACTACCCATGCTATGACTTTAAGAACCATTGGTTTTGGAAGGAATCGAGAAGCCTGGATTCGAAATATTTCACAATTGCTACTGCTTGAATGACGATTTTAGTATAGTTAAATCAAAGTAGCCAACTCCAGGGTGCTATGATAGGCAAGCATTCAACTTGTTATTTGGACTAGAGCAAAATCATGTCGCTACAACGACCAATCAAAATGCCATCCAGGATGAAGCTTTTGCCCCAACTTCATTGATCAACCCTTCTAATGAAACCTTGGATCATGGATGGAGGAAATCTTTCATATGGACCAATCACAAAGGCGATAGGCTGGTAATCGTCACAGGCGAAGGGAAGATGTTTGAAGAATTGGACGACGAATCTATTATAGACTCTAGGGAAGCTGAAAATTTAGGCCTTGTGGCCATTACTGAGTCTTTATTTTCTAGTTCTAAGGATGAAGATCCCAAAAAGGATTCTTCTCTTAATGTACTTTCTTTTGATTCGAATAATATGAGCTCTATCTCCGAGTATATGCCTTATTTTGAATCTTTTGAATGCTATAATAATCAATCTAATGAAGATGATAACATTAATAAGTTGGTTAAACTAATGAATGAACGAGAACCCTATCATTGAAGAAACTGAAACAATCAATATGGGAACTAATGAAAACAAAAGAGAAGTCAAAATTGGCTTAACTCTAAATCCGGAAGAGCGATCGACCCTCATATCGACGCTTAAAGAATTCAAACACGTGTTTGCTTGGTCATACAAGGACATGCCTGGAATAGATAACGAAATCGCGGAACATACCATTGCCTTGAACCCTACCTCTAAACCAGTAAAACAAAAACTTCGACGAATGAAACCTAACGCCGCACTAAAAATAAAAGAAGAAGTACAAAAACAATTGGACGCGGGTTTCATTCGCGTATGTAATTACCCAGAATGGGTAGCGAACATCGTCCCAGTCCCTTAAAAGGATGGACGAGTTCGCATGTGTGTCGACTTTAGGGACCTTAATAAGGCTAGCCCTAAAGACGATTTTCCTCTACCACATATTGATATTTTGGTAGATAACACGGCTGAACATGCGATGTTATCCTGTAAGGATGGATACGCAGGTTACAACCAAATTTTAACGGCAAAATAAGACGAAGAAAAGACATGCTTTATTACCCCCTGGGGGACGTATTGCTATACAGTCATGCCATTTGGTTTAAAAAATGCAGGGGTTACATACCAAAGAACGACTACGACTCTCTTGCATGATATGATGCATAAAGAAATAGAAGTGTATGTGGATGATATGATCGTAAAGTCCAAAGATAGAATTAGACATATAAAAGCTTTACGCAAATTTTTCACTCGCATAAAAGATTATAACATGCGATTAAATTCACAAAAATGCGCCTTCGGGGTAACTTCTGGCAAGTTACTCGGATACGTAGTAAGCACTCGCGGTATTGAGATTTTGATACCTCTAAAATAAAGGCAATTGTTGACATGCCTCCCCCTCAAACAAAAAAAGAAATTAGGGGGTTCCCTGGCAAATTGCAATACATTAGTCAATTTATTAACAAATTGACTATGACTTGTAAGCCAATATTCAAAAAATTGAAAAAAGAAGGAAAAACATGAATGGGACGATCAATGCCAAAAGGCCTTTGAGAAAATCAAAGATTATATCAAAAGTCCACCAATTTTAGCACCACCGGTACCCAAACTACCTCTTAGGCTATACATAACAGTTACAGACACAACCACAGGAGCCATGTTAGCACAAGAGGTAGAAAAAGTCGAGCGTGCAATATATTACATCAGTAAAAAATTCATCCAATATGACACAAAATATAGCACTCTAGAAAAGGCGAGTCTAGCATTAGTGTGGGCAACTAAAAAATTACGACATTATATGCTACCACACACCACTCATGTGATTTCTCAACAAAATCCGATAAAGTATTTGTTTGAACAACCACCTATACAAGGAAGAATATCCAAATGGTTGGTGATGTTGGCTGAATTTGAGTTAAAATATATTCCAGAAAAATTAATGAAAGGAAAAGTAATTTCCGACTTTCTGGCTCAACATCCAATTCAAACAAGTCATGCAAAAACTACTCATCTTCCGGAAAAAGAGATTCTCATGACACAAGATGACAAATGGGTAATGTACTTCGACGGTGCATCCAACCAAAAAGGATGTGGCGTAGGAGTTTTACTCAAAAGTCCAGAGGGGACACATACTCCAATCTGTGTAAAATTATACTTAATTTCAAGACTTGGTGTATTTCAGACATAACAAAGCATTGAAAAGAAATGAATTTCAGAACTTAAAATCACAACTATAATGAAATTTCAAAGGGGGGATCAGAACTCTAATTTCTAATTTCATTCCTAACTTAATTTCAAAGAGTGATTCAAAAATGAAAAGTAGACCTCACAATTAGAATTACAAATCAGAATATACAAAACCTTATAGGTGTTATAGATTACATAAGGTGATGATGTTCTAGTTATTAGAATATACAAATCAGAATATACAAAACCTTAATCAGAACCTAATAGCTATTTTGATTGCATAAGCTGATTTGATTATTTTTGGTGGTTAATATGATTAAGCTGCATGCAGACTGCAGAGTTACACTTGAACACAGTTCAGACAGTTGGTTAGAGCAACAGATAGATAGAGTTACATTCACAATTCAGACAGTTGGTTGCATAGTTCAGAGTTACATTCATAGTTGGTTTCACAGTTCAGAGTTGGTTTCACCAGACAGCTGGTTTCACAGTTCAGACAGACAGACAGTTGGATAAAGCTGAGGACAGTTTACACCCATTTAAATGACATATATTTGTAATATACTTGTTGGAAACCCATAGCACTCTTTTCAGCACAATATCTAGCATATAACGACAAACAAAGTATCCACAATACTTGGTGTATGCTGGTTGACGAGGACACTATGATAAGGCAAACAATTAATCATTAACAAGATATTAGATTTTAGGATTAAACTGCATAATATTAACTGCTATAAAACTTTAGATAACTTACTTGTGGTTGCTCCCACCTAATATATGCATTCTTTTTTATTTTCTTGATGTCCTTCCGATGGACCGAGCTGAATTGTTTGATTCCTCTACACAATTACATGAAGATAGGAAAATTGTAATAGTTTCCAAATACACAATAAGAACAAAATAAGAAGTTAATGACAAAGATATTGCAATTATACATACTCAGTGATGATCTTTTCAGCGAATGAGTTGATTTTATTTTCTGCTCCAAGTGGATCTAGCCAATACACCAACCCATTCCACGGACTAATAACGCTAACATCCAATGCATACTAAATCAGCAGCAAGGCACTTTTAGAAGGAAGAATGGATAAGAAAAACAACAAAATGTAAAAGGGGGCAGAATTTGTTTAACATAGCAATGTTGCCCTGACTTTGTTTGCTTTAAGAGGAATTTATTAGTAAAAATAGCATAGCATGGAAATATAGAAGCAATCAGGTTAAGAAAATTGAAATTACATATATTAAAGCATAAATAATGAAGAAGAATAATAATCAAAGTAACATAATTACATAACAAAGGAACTATACTTACTTGTCATTAAAAGGAGCAAAGAATAGCTGATTATAGTTCTTCCCCTCATTGCACCCAAAAACACGAGCTAGATAGTTAGATCGAACTTGCTCGTTTGTCGTTGGTGTCAAAGGCGATAGAACATTAGAGTCACAAAACCCATACATTCCCGAGATACCTTCTTTGTAACAATGTTCTTTCAAGATCTTTATCCCATCAAAAGTTGTAAATATATAAGAGAATGGACCAAAAATTTTCCACATTGTAATTAGAAACTAAATTGGAGGTGAACTTACTTCATGAATATATTCATTTGCGATTCTCCAACCTCCCTTTGGAAACACCAATCAAGCAAGTCTTCATAATCAAGTGAAACATTTAACCCATTTTCATTAAGAAACATGCTCTCTAGAATAGTGATAGAGATGGTATCGCCGGTCTTTTGCATCCCCATAGCTTTTTTTCTCATAAGACGCATCAAAGTAGATGTCACCTTCTCACGATCCTTGTCGGTAATAACATACTTACGAGTTGTTGATGCGTGGGAGGATGTAGATTGTGGGGATGGTGTGGTCACATCAACTTCTTTATCTGATTGGTTGTTCGCCTTTATAATATGTTTTCACATGAAAAATAAAACAAGACTATCATAAAAAATGCAAGGAACAACACACCAAAAACTAAGAGGGCATAGGAACCGAAAAACCAAGTTGCTGCCGCTGCCACAGCAGTTAGTAGCTTAAAGAAAAAAATATGAAGAAGCTTAAAGACAGTAGCGAACAGAAGCTTAAAAACAAGGAAGAATACTACCTTTTTGGGGAAAATCAAATGATTAGGCCAAGCTGTATAAGATCTCTTAGCATGACATACAAAAAGCAATTCATCGTTTGGGCATTGCAGAGGAGCAGTTGGCACAATATCTTCTGTAATGGTGACTCGACGGTGACCAGGGGGCAACGATGTGTTATGATTGCCAAGAACTTCGGTGCTGCTTTCTGTGAGGACTTTATAGTTAGCAACAACTTGTAGAGATTTGTCGCTTCCCTCAATTTCCAAGCAACAGTCACTCCATCCCTAAAAATGAGCACACAAGTGTTGTCACAACATAGTATATGGTGTAGACTCGGTGGTTCAATGCAAATTCATGTATAAGTTTTGATCTTCAGGTCAGTTATGAAATTATCGGTTCTAAAATTCAGTTCAAATCTACAGTTTTGAACTTTAATTTCTGATGATTATGCTAGATTTCAGATTCTAATTAGGAAGGACATAACCTCATAATATGTGCAGATATAAGGTAACTGCTAATACCATTAAAGCTACATAGCTAAAATTTCACATAAACATATGACACTATAACCTCAGTGTCACCACCAAAAACACCTTGCTGAGCACCACCAGCCATTAATGCTCTCAATTGCTCTTGGTTCAAGCATGACATTATGAATGATACTATAAAATTCTGCTGCTTCATCATAGATGCCATCTTTGAGTTCATCGCATTCATTTTAGCATTGACTTCGCTAGGTGCAGGTGGTTTGTTGAACCCAAAGTACTCTGTGTTAGTTACTCCAGATCCAACACCCCTAATAGAACCAACCCGTTCTGGCTTGTCCAATGCTCTTGCTAAGATGTCATCTCTACCTGTAACTTGTATTTCCCCTTTTTGAACTTGCGTCTCCAACTTAATTTGGAAATTATCAAAAAAAATTATATCAGTGCCCAAATAATAATCTTAGTGACTGAAAACACCTAAAACAAATGCAAATATATCTTACTATTGCATTATTGATTTCCTTATCTGCAGGATTATAAAAAGTTAAAACTCCATTCTTCACATGAGAATGAGCTTTAATCCAAGTCAAATGCCGAGGCACGTATGAAACATGTACTCCTTACTTCTCCAGCTCTTTTTCCTACCATTGCAAATAAAATAGAAAATACAGCTGAAACACAAAGAATTTCAAAATTTCTAAAATTATCAATTGAGTTCTTTATATATTCTTTTATTAAATTATCATGAAAGAGTACGGTGAGGAATGAGCACTATTAAGCTAAGCAGCGAGGCAAAGGTAAAAATAGAACACCAGGATTATTATTTAGTTAGAACAACTAGTATTAAGTTTATTTGAAGTAAAAAACAGAAGGTTACAGTAATAAGAACACCACTAATACCACATAGTAGTTATAAAATGTTTAGCATATACTTACAATTGTTTCTTCAAAATATTGATAGCAAAGTCTCCCACCTCGATATTTTGAGGTCCTCTTCTTCGAACTTTCACGATTTCTTTCACTCAATTTCTGCAATAATTATATTTAATATCAGATTTAATCCACACAAATTTTAAATGTACATAAAAAAATAAAGATAAAATAAATGCCAACGTAATGAACTTGCACCTTGAAGTCCCTAGAATTACAAGCCTGAATGAATTTTTCCCAATCATCTTTAGATATGAAAGGATATTTCAATGGTGGAGAATCATTGATTGTTCCATCTTTCAGGTACAAACACTTGAGCCTTAATCTAGTCTTGAAAGCTCTCCATCGAACGCAAGCTTGTTTCATAATCCAACCTTTGCGATCCTCAAGGATATGAAACCCCCTCTATATCCAAAAGAAATTCAGATATTCGTCACATTTAAAAGTATCGATACATAATCTAGTTTCTCTTCCTTTAAAACATAAATACATTATTTACATACCGAAATATTTTCATACAAATCATCAAGAAGTGCTTTTGGCAGGTCTGACCACTTTCTGTAGGTGATGCTTACTTTTTCACGGACAACTACACCAATGTAGGTGGAAAAATGACCTCTATGAACACCGATAGGGATTCTCCGAGTTGTATGCCACTGTAAAGGGATTTTTGTGCCAACCTGAATAGTTCTCCCAACCATTCTGAGCACAGTACGACCTCTTTCTTCCTCGCATTCAGAATTGTCCGTTGCGTGCACTTGCGATTTCTTTCGAGCCATCCTGCTACTACACAGAAGGTCAAAATTTAGAGTGACATGAGTAGTTAATTTCATAACAAAAAAACTCAATTCAAAAAAGTAAACATAGCATCTATAATCATCGCATTGTATGCTATTTACGACGTGGCATCAGACCGTATAAAATAAAAAGAAAAAAATTCCAATCACAACAAAGTTCAGATAAATGATGATAATCAAATGCAAACACAATTACACAATAGCAAATAAAAAGAAAAAAATGGGCATACATTATAGCAAATATTTTATTCAACTTTTAAAAAATCCAAACTTTCGCGGGAAAATCAAAATCCAATAACTCATTACTGTATAAATAAAAACAGGATTCATATATGAACAAGATGGGCAGATTACTATAACAATAGAACATCGTAGCAAACAATCAATAAACACAATTACACGATTCATATTCAAAATAATATCTACATAAAACAAACAAAATAAATATGATACCTAGCTTAGTTGTGGTGACCCTAATAGGGCTGGTTAGGGTTTTCCGTCTGGTCTTGTTGGCAGTGGATGGCCGGAGGTAGAATGCGTCAGTAGTCGATTGTGGTCTTGTGGAGGCTAGCAAAGTTGTGCGAATAGCTAGGGCAGTAGTACTAAAATTGTGAATTCAATGCCCAAAACCTGTGCGACCCTATGCGGTGCTAGTAGCGCAGTAGGCGACTGTAGGCGGTGTTTTCCGGCTAGTCGTGCGACCCTAGTGGTGGAGCGATTGCAAGAGTCACGGTAAAGGTTTGTGCAATTGACGAAAGGTTTGAAATTGGGTTCTAAACTTCAAAAGATTGTACTAAATTTCATATAATGGGTTTGGAAATGAAAATGGAGGAAGATGAAAATGGAAAAGGTGGAAAACGAAGGTGGTAACAATGCCGGAAGAATCGAAGTCGAAGTTCGATGGTGCGCCGCTGCTGCTGCAAAATTATTTGTTTTGGCGGTTTAATTGTTTTGGGGGAAAATGAAAATTAAATTAATTAATTGGTTCCAACACAAAAAAAAATGAAAATTAATTGAATTGGGAATGTGTTGACCATCTTGACTGATAATGTAGAGAGTAGATACCATATTAGACTATTCACCGGTCTCTCCTTTTTTTTTTTTTTTTTTTAAAAAAAATTATTATATGTATTTTAAAAAATGAGACCACTTATGTAGAAAAATGGTCTCTGTCGTTTTAAATTTAAATTTTGAAAAACTACAAGAGACTTATTATTTCAAATAAGTGGTCTCTCGAAATATTAAAGAGACCACATATTTAGGATATTTGGTCTCTTGATACTAAGAGACTACCTATTTAATTAAATGGTCTCTAACTTGTGGTCTCTTTGGCCAATTTTTTAGTAGTGACAACTAGGTAAAGTCTAAACACCCCCCGTTAACCCTTCGATATGTCAGAATCTGATGCAGCTACTCTCCGTCAGCAATTGGAGACCGCCTAGAGCAATCGTCGTCGACAGCCAAGGCAATTAGATCTGATCCCCATGATGCCGCTGCTGGATGTCATTGAGTCTCCACATGACACTGATACCGAATCCAGTGACGGAGATATGAACTTGGACCCTCCAATCAGGAATCCCGGGCAAAGGATTACTCAAACTTCAGGAGACGACCAAGGTTACCCGCAGCCGGACCATACGGAAATCCTGCTCCAGGGTGCTGTCGATGATGAAGAAGATGCCCGGCGTGCCGATCCTTGTTCAGCAAGAAGCTCTAGATGGATTCGCAGCGACCCCGTTTTGCGACGAGCTGGCCATAGCCCGGATTCCCAGAAGACTATCGCTCCCGACGTTCACGTTGCTCTATGATGGAACGACCTGTACTATAAGCAACGGATGTGGCAAGCTTCGATCCCATTCGAGTGCTAAGAAGCATGCATGTGCAAATCGTTTGGCGCGACGCCGATAGGCCCCGCCCTTAAGTGGCTCGGCAAACTCGAACCAGGTAGTATAACTAGTTTTTCTATGTTAGTTAACAAATTCTATTCCCATTTTGAAAGTAGCAGGCAATTCGACAAGCAGACGAGCGATCTATATCGGATCGTCCAGGGTCCCAAGGAGACCATCAGAACTTATTGGTCTCAATTCAACAAGGAAAAAGTCTCAAACAAGAATGTCGACAATAGGACTGTCGTTGAAGCCTTCCTCCACGGATTGCATACGGACTCGGACCTGTACTAAGATATGGTCAAGTATCCCTGCTCAACATTTGAAGAGGATCGGACCAGAGCCGTGGCTAAAATGCGCTTCGACGAAGATAACGCCAATCGCAGCTCCTACCCGAGTTCCAGAAGTTCGTCCGATCGGAAGGCCCCAACCCAAGGGGATCATGGTGACACTAGCCTTACGAGGCATCAGGTAGATCACGCTCTGTTAATGCTGTGTAGGTCGAAGATATGGACAAATGGTGCAAGTTCCATAGAGATCATGGCCATAAGACGGAAGATTGCTACGCCCTACGAAGAGAGGTCGCCTTCCAGTTAAAGAGAGGCAACCTCAAGCATCTATTAGGGAAAAAGAAAAGCAATGAAGCAAGTCATCATCAGCCAGAAGCGACGACAGCCGGACCTCCGAAGCGTCCTGTACCTAAGGTAATAGTTAATGTTATCACTGGTGGTTCCGATATTTGTGGACTTACCTATTCTGCATCAAAGAGGATCGCAAAGTCGACAATAAATAATGAAGATGTCCCGGAAGAAATCAGAGACCCCCTGGAAAAGAAGCTGGAGGCAATGTCAATTACCTTCGATGATGACAACGTCAACAACATCAATAGAGAGCACGAGGACTCTTTGGTAATTTCTCTGGTCGTCGGGAATTGTCTGCTTTGAAGGGTGCTGGTCAATGGAGGAAGCTCCGCAAATGTCCTGTTCAGAAGAGCCATGGAAGATATGGGGTTGAAAGATAGTGACATCACCGGAAGGTCGACGACTCTGGTCGGTTTCAGTGGAGAAAGCATGTCAACTCTCGGAGACATAACCCTTCCAACCTATGCAGGAGGCCTAAACCCTCAAACCAAATTCAATATCGTTGACTGCCCGTCAGCCTATAGTGCCATACTAGGACGACCCTGGATCCTCCGATTGAAAGCCATTCCTTCTACCTACCACCAATCAATCAAATTTCCCACCCCATGGGGAGTCCAAGAAATTAAAGGAGAACCCCGTGAAGCCAAACACTACTACAAAACAACCCTTAAACCAACCATGAGAACCGCATAGCAATTACAGCATGGCCCGACACCAGACAATCCCAACGACCTCGAAATTGACGAGATACCTTTAGATCACGAAAAGCCAGATTAAGACGTCCGTGTCGGAGTCAAATTAACACTTGAACTCAAAAATTCCATCCTAGCCTTTCTCCGAGAAAACAAAGATTGTTTTGCCTGGTCTCACAAGGACGTGACTGGTATAGACCCGAGCATCATCTCGCATAAGCTGAACGTCGACCCAAATCATAAGCCCGTCAAGAAGAAGCGTCGGAAGTTTGCTCCGGAGTGAAATAAAATCATCAACGACGAAGTACAGCAGCTGATCGATACTTGAAAGATAAGAGAAGTCATGTATCCAGATTGGCTCGCAAATGTTGTCGTCGTCAGTAAAAAGAACGGCAAGTGGAGAGTGTGCATCGACTTCACCAATCTCAATAAAGCATGCCCTAAAGATCCGTTCCCGCTCCCGCACATCGACGCCATGGTAGACGCGACAGCAGGTTACGAGCTCTTATTACGAAAAAATGCAGGTTATAAAGTTATGCCATTCGGACTAAAAAATGCAGGTTCGACGTACCAGAGGCTAGTCAACAAGATGTTCAAAGACCATCTAGGAGATACAATGGAGGTATACATCGACTATATGCTGGTGAAATCTAAGAAGTCGAAGGACCACGTCGATCACATCCGTCAGACCTTTGAGGTATTGCGAAAATATGGTATGAAACTTAACCCTACTAAATGCTTGTTTGGAGTGTCTGCTTGAAAATTTTTGGGCTACGTAGTAACATAAAGGGGAATTAAGGCCAGCCCTAACCAAGTCAGAGCCATAATAAATATTCAATCCCCATGAAATGTAAAAGATGCCTTGACAGGACGAGTGGCAGCATTAAATCGCTTCATCTCTCGATCGTCACTTTACTCCCATCCTATCAACAGTTTTCTATTTTAAAAGACACACTTGAGCATTACAGTCTTTTAGCTTTCAAAAAAGAGTCATAATCAACTTAAGTCCTTGAGGGTCTTTGTACTTAGCAATTTAGAGTTTAATCTTTGAGTTGTATTGGGTTAGAGTTTGGGGAAACTCTGAGAGTGTTTTATTGCTTTGAGTGAAGCAAGGAGAAAGAGAGAGAGTTTGAGAGTTCGACTGATTGAGGGATCAGTTGAAGGGAGCTTAAGTTCATAGAGGAACTTGAGTTTATAATCATAATTTCTAATAGGTTGTTTTCCCTATTATTATTGATAATTGAGTTTAAAATCCCTTGTGGTCTTGGTTTTTCTTCTTGATTAGGGCCAAGAAGGTTTCCACGTAAAATATCTTTTTGCACTTTTATTTTTTATTTGAGTTTCTTTATAAATTCCGCAAAAATTACCCTAGTTCCTCTACAATACAATTCAACCTCCCCTCTTATATTGTTCATTCGAGTCAACAATTGGTATCAGAGCTAGTTCCTCGAAGAAATCAGGAAACCATGACGAGTTAAGTTCATGGAATCAAGATGAACAATCACGAGAAACTGGAAGAAGGTTACTCTACGCAGCGACCTCCTATGTTCAATGGGAAATTCTACACCTATTGGAAGAACAGGATGGAGATATTTATCAAAGCCGACAACTACCAGGTTTGGAGAGTGATCGAAGTTGGTGATTTCTAAATTACCAAAACAATTGGTGAAAACGAGGTAGTACCTAAACCCATGTTTGAATTTGATAAGGAAGATTTTGAAAAAATGGAAATTAATGCACTTGTTGTTAAATTACTTCACTGTGGTCTTGGTCCCCATGAACACAATCGTGTTATGGGCTGTAAAAATGCTAAAGAAATTTGGGATATACTACAAGTAACACATGAAGGAACTAATGAAGTGAAACGCTTTAAAATTGATTTGCTTATGTCTAAATATGAACGTTTTGAAATGCAATCTAAAGAAACTATCCAGGAAATGCTAACAAGGTTCACTAACATTATTAATGAGCTTGTTTCTCTTGGAAAGAAAATACCTATTGATGAGCAGGTCAGGAAAGTTCTAAGGAGCCTCCCTCAAGATGAAAGATGGAGAGCCAAAGTGACTGCCCTACAAGAAACTAAGGACTTCACAAAATTCAACATTGAGCAACTTGGTGGTTCCCTCATGACTCATGAGTTGCACTTAGGAACAAGCAATAGTGAAGGGAACAAAGGAAAAGGCTTAGCTCTC